CGCGAATTGGGCGGCAACATGACGCCATGTTGGCGTGGGTATCGACTCCTTGGTGCCAGGCGCTTTTGACCACTTCGATGTAAGTCCGATTTGAACAAGTCGATCCTTTTTTCTGATTGAAATCCGGGTGTGGCGGTCAGCAGAAGTTGCCATGGATGAATCTGCAGTCCAGGCGCATAACCCATGATCCTGACAAGTCAAAGAGCAATGACCTCCTCCATGGTGGGGTCGTGGAAAAAAGCAAAGAAGGAAGAGATGCGAAAGGCTTCGGAGCTCGAGCCTGCCACATGTCCCCCTGTCTCGGAGCGTCTCTTTGCTACGGAAATCTGCAACCTTCCGCCGGCAGAAGAGAGTCCATCCCTTTGACCACCAGATGTGACTTTTAGCGCGGTTTTGAGGGGTGTAGGTCCACTTCGCCGATCTTACCTAATTAGGACTCACTATAATAACGCGAATAATCGTAATATCCTCACTATTTATAGATAAGTAGGATATATTAACTAGTAGTAATAATATTATAATTTTAGCTTATCTATAAATAGAAATAACTGAATTTTATATCTATTAATATAATAAGCGTTTTTAGTGAAACTTTAGCTTAAGAGACTAGTAACTTAAGGATTAAGCGCTTAAAAGTAACTTTATTAAGCTAAAAAAGTATTTATTTTAATTATTTTAAAATCTATAAAATTAAGCGTTAATTTACTTTTTTACTAGCTATATTACTTACTTTATTATAACTTTTTATCCTTATTAACTTTATTATATATTAAGTAGTATAGATTAATATATACTTAATAGTATATATAAAATAGTAAGAGATATTTATATTAATATTAATTAATAAGCTCTACTTTTTTTTTAGAATTTTACTATATATATATATTAAGCCTAAAAAACATTTTAATACTTATTAGTTAACTAGCTATTTTAATATTTACTACTTATTTACTTAATAGATTATTAAGTGCTATTTTAAAGCTTTATTATATTACTTCTATTACTAAGATCTAGATCATCTTAATCCCTCTCTATTAAAGGCCTTTATACGCGCTAAGCTATAGGTAGCTTATATCTACTAAGTTTTATAGTTTTTACTCCTCCCCTCTTTAGTTATAGTTATTAATAAAGGTATAGTTAGATATATAGGCTGCTCTAATAAAATAACTACTATTAAGTCTAAATTTATTCCTATAAGCTATAAGATATAAGGTATCTCTAATAAGGACTTCTTAACTTTATAGTTTTAGTATACTTATATTATAGGCTTATAAGGCTTATAGTAATCTAAAAAAGCTACTTTTAATAATATTTAGAAAGTAGTATATAAACTAGCTACTTATCTACTTTAGTATAGCTATAACTCTTACTATATTATACTTAATAACTTATTTATTAGCTTATACCTCTTATATATACTATATAATAACCTCTATATTACTACTATAAGTACTTATTAATAGAACTCTAATATCTATATATTTCTATTTATTATAAAAAAAGCTAAAAAGAAGTCTAATTACTTACTATAGAGGACCTTCTATATTACCCCTATAGAGGACTACTAAGTTAACTAGTTTAGCTAGAAAGATCTCTTATATATTCTTTTTATATTAACTTACTTTATAAGCTAAGAACCCCTTATACCTTATTAATATTACTTTCTAAAACTATTTACTATATATTTTAAGATAGCTTAAGTATTATTTAAAGTTATAATAAGTTAAATATCTTTATAGTTATTTTTATAGCTATTAGAAGCTTAGTAAAATACTTAGGCGTCTTAGTAAATAATCTTAAGTAAATATAAGAAGTAGATAATTAAATATTATATTAAAAAAGACCTACTATACCTCTTATTTACAGCCCTCTATAATAAAAAGAAAGGAGGGGTTAATATAAATAACTAACTATATAAGTAGTATATATAGGACTACTAGGTCTATTAAAGAAGCTAGTATACCTTAATTTATAGCTTTAAAATTAACGTCGTTATAGGTAATATTTTCTTCTACTAATAAGATTATCTAGCTATAGAGAGATAAGTAAAATTTAAAACTAAATTTAAGTAGATTAAAGTGCTATATAAGTCTCTATTTATATCTTTTAGCTCCTCTAGTAGTATATATAAGAAGACTATTAAGGTCCTTTATATAAGTACTATAGTAGCTAATACTATTAATATAAACCTTAAAACTTATATTTTAACTAAGAGGTTTAAAAAGTAACGTTATACTATATATATTAATAAAATAATATTATAAAGCCCTCTAGCACTAAGAGATCTTAATATATAGTATATTAAGTAAACTATATATAGCTACTAATAGTATAATATAGCTCTCTATAAAGAGGGTAATTACTAAACTACTTAGTACTTAATACGTTAAGAGCTAATATAGCTAAAAACGCTAAAAATGAGGTCTTTTTGATTTATATAATAAATTCGCATAATTATATAAGCATAGTGTTGAAGAATATAGGGCTCTAATTAGTTGAATTGCTTCTGATCGTCGCTGCAAGAAAAACCGCGCTAAAAGTCACATCTGGTGGTTAAAGGGATGACGCTGTGAATCCCGGATGTCTTGGGAATCGATCAAACGGTATCGACAAGCTGATGTCGACGGCGGGACAGAGATTCAGGCAGAGCGCGGCAGGTGATGGTCAAGGTTCTTTTGTTTCTTCTCCCTGCTTCTGGTGAGACGATGGCGACTTGGGGTCAGGTCGTTGGCAGTTTCCATCAAACATCCATCCAACGGTTTCCGTTGTCTCTTTTTCCGAAGATTGTCCCATGGACGTCCACTCTGGAACGACTCGCTATTGATGGGCCGGATTCCGATATAGAGTGCCGTTGCTGATATTGAAGCAAAGAACATGGATAATGGCGGTTCCGCGGCGTCCACAACGGCCAGGTCAGTAGCATCGTGACTCGTTGTCAGTAGGTATCCGGCGCGTATGCTGGTGAAGTATGTGCTAGGTAGGCAGCGGTTTGTCGTATTGTTTGTAGCACCACACTGGGACGCGCCGATGCGGTGCCGGGAGGAGATGATGGGGGTACGAGAACGAGGATGCTGAGGGTATCCGTACGAGGGTGCGCCCCAACTGACCGGTCAGGTTAAGGCCTTGTTGCCACCTGGGAAAAAGCAACGTCAGGGAGATTTCCGTTCTAGAAGCCGGGCCGCTGGTGAAGACCGGGAGGATGCAGGGGGGGCTAGGTTGATTGAAGGAGGGGGAGATGGTTTTGAGTTCAAGGGCCACAGCGAACAGGGAGGAATGAGACGTTGCAGTTGCAGCAGTGGCATGCCCCCATCTGGATAATCGGATTGTTGACGCACAGTCGTTGCGGAAGGTGCAGGGCGCCGGAAAGTTTAAAGACCCAGTTCAGTTCAATTTAGTTCAGTTCAGTTCAGCTGAGGACAACCTTCTGCGAGAACGAGAGAGGGGAGGGGGGAAAGGGAAGAAGGTGCCGCGTTTGAAAAGGCCATCCTTGCTGAGTTGAGACAAGGCAAAGCAGGGAGCGGCTGCCTCCAGCTGTGCTTTCGTCGAGGAGCATGGCAATCTGGCACGAGGTTCGAGTTGCATAGTCTTGCTTGTCCCGTAAAAGTATCGGGCTGTTCTAGCTGCACTGGGCATGTAGTGCAATAAGGCTGATGTCCCGATGTTCCATGGCAGCTGCAGGGCGGTGGTTGGGTTGGGTCGGAGAGGGAGCACCAAGAATGTCTATACTATGGTAGGTGACTTGCACCATTTGGCCTGCCCCAACTGCCTACGATGCCTACCTACGATAGGATGGGCCTCGGAACACGTCGTAGTGTGCCATCTGAAGATATATGTGTAGGAGATTATGGCGAGGGTTGTTGAGAGAAAGATTTTGTTTTTGTGATGGGAATGCAGCGCATCGCAGCGCACTGCATTGCATTGCATGGCATGACATTGCAGCAGAGCTGAGAGCGACTATTGCAGCCATGGCAGGTGGAGGAGGCGACTGAGGCAGCTGCTACCCTCAATGCTACCCGCATGCCTAGGGCGGAAGAATGCAAAGAGCGCAAAAGCCATGCAGCCACAGAGCAAACAACTTACACTGCATGTGCAAGTGCGAGGCAAGTGCAGCAGGCAAAGAAGTACATACTGCATAGCACGAAAGCAAACGCAGCCAGCAGGGGGGGAAACTGGATGGCAACACCAACAACAACTCGATCGGTCTGAGCCGCTGAAAACCATTGGATCGGGTCATTGGAGGTTAAATTGGTACCGCAGCCCGCAAGACAGCGCATCCCGGGCCATGCCGAATGCTGGAGATGGCAAAGCCTTCAAGAAGAGGTTGCAATGGACGGGAAAGGGACCAAAAGGAGGGGAGAAGTGGGCGTGACAGCAAGCAACTTCCCTGGTTCTCGTATCTTACCAAAGAATCGCAAAGCAACTAGCCCCATCTCAGGACGGCGGCTGATCCTGGCGAGCCTCGGTGTCCCTCTCGCGTTCTCAACAGAGCTGGAGGCAGGTGAGAGCGGAGATGGTCCGGCGCCGAGCTGTGCTGTGCTGTGCTAGGTATGCTGTGCTCTGCGGTGCGGTGCGGAGCTGCGCAGGGCTGGCGCAGGAATCATGCCTGCCACTTCCAGTCTTAGGTTTGTGCGTGTTGGAGACAACTTCTATTCTGTTGGCATTGGGCAAGGAATGTTCATGACTTGCTCAACGAGATATTTAAAGGCCTATATGTTAGACCTTCAAGATTAACTGCCGGGGGTTAATGTTTCTACTGACGGGTTTAATTGACTCTATTGGAAGTCAAATGATTCAAACTCCTTGAACTTCTGTCTCGTGTCTGACCACTTCCTTGACTAAGTTGGCTTGTAGACGGACGTGAGAAACCAAGGCCAGAGCAGTTGACTCTGCCCCACGCCAAACACTGAATGCGTCTCATTGCATTGTGCCTTGTCCCTTATCCATAGAACCCTGGAGAGGGGAGGCAGTATATGCTCAAGTAAGACTAAAAGATACTTCAACTATGTATGTCTTGTGGATACGCAACTACTATTCGTGGCCGGCAGACTACGGATACCTAGGTAAGGTAATGCTCACGATTGACAGACACTTCAGAGGCCCCCATCCGCGGAAGAAACACGTACCTGGTCTCCTGCATGCTCAGATCTTGCCTAATCTCGTACAAGGCGCCTATCCAATGCCTTGTCCCCAAACTGTTCACGCCTGGAGTAAAGTACCCTGCGGCAGAAGATCCTTGGTGAGATACCTTGTAATGGCCTGAGTTCTGGTAGGCGCCTTCCCAAATAGCCACTAGAGGGAAGGCAGGTGCCGCTCTCTGCTGCATCGCGATGGAGACGACGACAGCCCCAGCTGCCCTGTGCAGTAAAAAAGAATTAAAATAAAAAAGGCCCCTCGAGACCAAGGGCTCCAATGGCCCCCCAATGGCCCCCAGGCGCAGGGAAGGCACCTACTGGGACAAGGTGCCTACCTTACCTACCTACGTGCCTACCTACCTGGTCTGGTAGGGGTATCCGTACTCTGTAAGGTACCTGGAGAGGTATGGGTATGAATGCACTAAAACCAAGGAAGGTGGACCCGGCCCGGCCATTGACTCCTGCTGTTTCGAGACCCATTGGATCATGGAGGAAGGACCTCCATCTGCCAATGGCAATTACATAACACGGCTTGTATTTTTTTTTATGTCTTTTTCTGTCTCATCAACCTCCTACAGTTTGTCCCGTCCGACATCCTTTGACAATCGATGCGGTGGAACAAGAATGGAACCCAAACTGGAACCCGCCCATCATACATGAACACATTCTCCACGTGATTTCCACGATTCATCAGAGCCGATCATCGCTGGAAATCGACGGCCGATGCCCATTCATCAGCCTCTTCAGGGACGATCCAGGAAGAACCCACGCCTCCGCCCCGAAGAGGAAGGGCAGGACGGAGCGCGGCACACGGCACACGGCAATCCTACGACACATCATATCACACACATCACACATAACACGCATGCGCACAACCTCTTGCTTGAATCGGTACTTCCATTTACTGCGCAACGGTACCTATCTTTGTGAACGCCTCCTGACTCCAACGACGTCCTCCAGTCCTCGCCCCCCAGTGACGACGAACCGCACTACGCTATCTACGTAATGGCGCTCGTCCTTTTGCCGCCTTTCGTCCCATCTACGGATACCTACCCATCTGGCGTACTGCCCGCGCTAGGTACTGTCGTCCTCCGCGCACATCACCATTGGCTGTAAGGCTTGCTTGCCACTGCATGCTCGATTTCTATTCCGGATCGCACCCTGGAGCCCTGTCAAGCCCTGGCATCTCTGTCCCTGTCAGGACGCCGTCGAACACACCAATGTGCCTTGCTGATCCCGGCATGAACACCGGCGGGCGAGTCCAGACAAGCGCTCAAGAAAACACTCTGGCTGCGGATCCGGGTACCCACGGATGCAAAAGCTTCCTGGACTGCGCAGTATCAACACACACACACACACACACACACACATGCCTGGGCATCGACTTCAACGAGAGCATACTTGGGCAGATACCCACGCCCACCACTGCAGATGCGCCTGTCGATCGTCGCTCATGTGCGCAACATCAGACACGCATCTCAGCAGAGCATTCGGAGCGGGCCACTCCATGATGCCTCTAGTACAACAAGACACGGATGCTACACCACGGAAGTTGGCCTACCTACCAAGTAGTGTACATACACGCTGCACCGCATCCATGGGACGATGTTCCTGTGCTTGGATGCTGGGACTGTTGATCAGTGGCCCGCCCTAGTCCGCAATCGAGGCATCGATTGGCCCGAATCGCTGTCCAGGTCTCCCCTGCCCCTCATCCTGAATTGTTCTGGGACGAATGTCAGCCTGGATCGTCGACTCCTGCTGCATAGCGCACACACACCGGCTTTGCCATCCATCCTTTTTATCCCGCCTTTAGCCCGCAGCCTCTGCTCGACATGCCCACCTGTCCAATCTGACATGCAGAGACGGTCGCCATCCTTCCCTAACGCTGTCTCAAAAGAAAATTCTTGCCAGCGGACAACCTTCTGCGGTGGAAGGGAGGGTGAAAAAGAAAGCTGGCTGGATGGCGGGTTGGCAGGCTGGGGGCAGCACGGGGGTCAGTCAACAACCAGGCACCGAGAACCAACACGGCGGAGAAACTTACACTACCTGACCTTGCCATCCATCCCTCAGGCCTCAGCAGCAAGGTGTTGGACCTTAGCTCCGACGTCGAAGCACCTTGTCTGTTCCTCGCAGCTCTGAGCTTGGGGCTTAACTGAAAGTCCCGTGTTAATACTTGCATCCCGCCCAACGGTAACTTACCTTTCACACTACTGCCGCATCGCACCGCTCCCAGTCTGCTGCTGTCAACGCCCGCCCGTCGAACATCGATCCCGCGGACTGCCGTTCCAACTTCTCCACCAATGCGGAACATGTCACCAAGCTCTGGCGGCGGCGGCAGCTTCACCTCATTTCTCGTCCCATCCCAAGGACCGCCGCCTTTAAGCATGGGCGCTAGCGGCATCAGGTTCCCAGGGCCAAGAAAGCTAGATTATGCTGTTGCTGCTGCTTCTCCCCTCTGTGTTCCACCGGGCCACACCTCCCGACGATGTCTGTGCTGCCGTTCTAACCACACCTTCCTCACGCCCCCTCAGCGCTGCCCTAGCTGTGCCAAACTAGCCCCAGAAGCTGGGTGTGGGTGCCAATGAGGGTGTCCCTATGGTGTGGATTGGTGAGGGGTCTTGGCCTCCTCGTCCTCTTCCATGTCGGTGGCTCCATGCCCCGACAGCCTGGGTAGGTACATGGGAAACCTCTGCGAGTGAGTGCCTGGCTTCTGCCCAGGCTGGTTTGGTTCCCTTTACCTTGAATAGACCTACCACCTCAACATGAGCTCTCCTCCTCGCCGCAAATACTGGTGCGCCGTCGGTCTCTTGCTCTAGGGGGACGTCTGTGGAAGAGGAAGCACATGCAGATTGTACTCTCACTCTCATCTCTTCTCTCTCTGGCACACTTCGTTCAGTACTATCCTTCCTCACGGTGCGGATGGTGGTCGACAGAGTCGTCAATCTCCGCCGTCTTAGACAGGATCAGTCCCACATTGTTTAAGAGTGACCTTTCAAGCTGAGCTTATAGGCTCAACGAGTTGCGACTGGACGCCCAGACTCGAACGAATCCGCGCTAGAGTCGCATGGAAGAACGCGCCTACACACTTCAAACTGCCAGACGACAGTTGTTATTTATTCAAGCATATGTAAATTGGAGCGGACGGGCCTGGGAACGCGGGTTTCAAACAATGGGTCTGGCGGCCATGTATGCGCGAGTTAAGTTGGACTAACTTGCTAGTGACAACGCCGCCTTCCATCCACGCCGGGGCGACTGCGCCCAGCTGTCACGGCCCTTCAGTCGCGCAATCCGAGATCAGGTACAAGACACCAGATCAACGACAGGAACCTCCACACATCATTTCGAGCTAGGCCGGTGTTGATCAAACTCCCAGCAAGAGGAGCTGACAGGGTCTCGAATTCGGGCGTCCTACTTTGCCAACCCCAACCCCAGCAAGCCCAGTCCAGTCCAGTCCAGCTTCAACCCCACCAGCCTGGGCGCTTGCTTTGGCTCGCCGCTCGTTACATCACTTTGGGCGAAGGACCCTTGTCTCATTATTTGCCAGGGCTTATCTGTGCCTCTTCTTTCAGATTTTGACGTCCAGTTCTGCTCCAGTGTCACACGCACGCACCTCTGGACGGAATTCGTGGCTTCGACCTTGTGGGTGAGTAGAACCCGTCAACAAGTATCGTCACCCCATCAGCCAGGTCCGACGATCCGTGCTGTTCTCTGGATGCTAAGCGTTTGAGCAGAGCAGACGGCCGTTCAGATACCAGACCCAGCTTGGGCCAAGAACTTAAGCCGCCGGGTCCCAGAACGGCCAGCCGTTGCCACATTCCTCAGTCGACACGGGTGGTGACTCCGTATCAACGCCTTGAATCGACCTACTTCTCCTCCTTCTCGCAGTGCCTGCCACGCCTCAGCCGCCCCAGCACTCACGCGCCATCCCGGAACCTTAATCGACCTAGGGTCGTCTTTTCAAACCGCTCCTCCCGAGGCTAGGGAACCACCAGAACCTTGAGCTCGCAAGGGTAACTGCGCCAAAAACCCCTTCACCCCGCGCCAGCCTCTTTCATCACTTTTCAGGACGACAGCTCTCCATCCTGGGCCATTCTTCTGCCCCATATTGCAAAGGATTGCTAATCTCCTGCCGACATATCATATCTCCGGCATCCTGAACCGTCGAAGCAAACCTGCCCACTGCCTATCCTGTCAACAACCGTTCCAACGCTAGCTTCCCTCTCCCACCACCACCGCCATCCAGGAGCATTTCTTGTGTCCATACGCATTCCACGCCGTGTCTTGCCGGGACGTGGCCGATATACCCACATGCTCGGCCACTTTCGTCTCGCTCTATGACTACACCGGCACTCAAGGTTCGGATCTGACCTTGCTCATCTGGCGGAACGTCCTCATCCTCGACCTTGTCTCTCGATCTTCGCCCCTTGTCCGACCCAAGTGAGTGGAACCGCGGCATATCTACGCATGTTTACTCGTCTTTCCCATTCTTGGTCTCCCCTCGCAGCAAGGCAAAAGTACATGCCACTCACACGTCGGAGATCATTGTCAACGCCAATTACAGCCGACTAGATCCCTTGGCTTGTAGACTCTGGCCAACCACAGACGGTTCTCCTCTACTCACCAGCTGGCAAGGACTTTCGAATTTTACCGGGATGATCTTGGGCACGAAGCCTAGACACAACCATCTCGCCATCTCCCTCTAGGCATTGACTTCCCTTCCTAGCGTAGCACCTACAAGGAGCCCCAGGCATAACGCCAATCCCGCAAGCAGATCACCAAAGCGCAGGTTGTGATACCCGCCCTCCTCAACTCACCTAGTTACATTCTGGTCACTCAGGAGCCCCACCACGGCCTTTACCAACTGTTGTATGAGTTGTGGACAGAAGGTCCTGTGGCTCTGGACGACCTGGACCCCCCTCCTCCTGTGTGGCACAGCTCGAGTTCTCCAAAAACAAGTCCCTCTCCAACATCTCTCGCGCGGCCCCGAACACACCTAGGGAGTCTCCTTTTACGAAAGGCCCAGCCAACGGTCGGTATCTCCTCTGTGGCGCTGCTCAACAAGTAAGCTTCCGCCGTCTACTAGCCATCACCTCGTCGAAGTAGTGCCCATGCCTTGGTACAGGGACCAACAGTCTGTCATAGGAAACCATAGGTCTGAATCGCTCGTCCAAGCTCCTTCACCCCTCTATCTAGACGGATCAGCCTCTCAGAGGATCGGGCACTATCGACCCCACGACTATTTTCCCTGACAACTTTAAGAGACCCGCAACTTGGCTCGCTCGGCAGAATCCGCTTAACCTAGTATTTTCCAGCGCAATTCGCACCGTCGTCCCGTGTTGCCACCGGCGGTCCCAAAGGGATACAGCTCCGTCATTTGCGCTTGTGTGGACAGAGCGTGCCAACTTTGCGGGAAACGTTGGCACACGCTCCACACTACGTTCCCGTCCCCTTGTCTCCCACTCGAAATCTGGACACCAATCACCTACAACCGCAACCATGGGGGACTATTACCACCACTTTCTCACCTCCATGTCCGGAGTGGCAGCCAGCCAGAACATGAGCCCACAGGATACCCATTCTCCCCAATTCCCCGGCGGCCAGATGCCCATGATGGGCGGCGCAATGCCGGGACCTTATCCCAACCTTGGATACTTCACTGGCTTTCCCGACCCCGTCGGGCTCAGCGCCCCCAAATCCTCCCGCAATCGAAGAAAGTCGGCCCCCGGTATTGACCATGTCAAGCACCGCCGCACAAGGTCAGGCTGCTACATGTGCAGAAGTAGAAGAGTTAAGGTAGGCTCGTGAGTCCTGCGCACTGCGTTTGTTGTGCTAATAACCATGACAGTGCGACGAGAGTCGGCCGATATGCGACAGTGTGTAAGCCCGGAACGAAACAGACAACCCGAAATAACTAACATGATCGCAGGATGTCGCAAGGGCAGCCGTGAGTGTATATACCCAGAACCTCCAGCAACCAAAGGCTCGGCAGCACAGACGGCAACTTCGAAAGAAGGCAACACCACACAGCAAGCCAGTCCCGACTCTTCCAACGACCCAGAGGATGGAGAGGAGGACACAGAACCCGCCGGTCTTGACACGATTATTGACGAAGACGAGGGTGACGAAGATTCTCCGCATAAACACTTTGCAGGCCCCAGCAGAAGCAGCACAGCTTCTTCATTCAGCCTTCAGCGCTCAGGAGGAACCCGTGGAAGCTCCGAAACACCCTCGCATGAAGGAACCAAGAGTGCGTCGCCCTCGGCATCGGTGGGGACCTCGAGCAGTCAAGCTACGACTACATACGCGATGCCAGATCTTGGAGTGCTTTCTGTGAGCAGCCACGTCGATTGGTCTCATCTTCCCCTCGACATTCGACAACACCTCGAGTACTTTTGCGAAAATATCACCCACTATCATTATTGCATGCTGGCCGACGCACAAGAGGTGTTTCGTATACATCTTCTTAACTATGCGTTGCGAAACGAAGCTCTGCTTTACGCGGTCGTTGGGTTCGCCGCTTATCACCGCACAATCCAGGACCCTGACGGAAAGATGGAGGACTTTTTGAAGTATTACAACAAGAGTGTCATCTTATTGCTAAACTCTCTCAAGAGAAGAGAAAAGCACGACGTGACCACTCTTCTTACCGTGCTCCAACTGGCGACGATCGAGGTATGGAGTGTCAAGGACATTGGGATCCAGGAGTTAGCTAACAATAGGTCAAATAGGAGTACTTGGGCGACTGGATCAATCTGATGGGTCACCAGAAGGCTGCGTATGAGATGCTGATACACCTATTTTCTCCCGAAACCGCCAATCACAGTCCAGTTGGCCGCATGATCGTGTCTTGGTACGGCCGATTCGACATCTTCATCGCCCTCATGGGCGGGTTTCCGACGATGCTGCCGAGGCAGTGGTTCACGACAAACGTTGAGTACTGTGATAAACAGGCTGCCGTGGACGAAGACAGCATGCATTGGAAATTGGAAGCAGAGTCTGGCAGGCTCAGGGTTATCTCCAGGGATATGTCAACTTTGTTTGCGCGAGGGAGCAGGGGGCAAATATCACCGGAAGATTTCGCCCTGGAGCACGAACGGATTCAAAAAGCGCTTCACGACTGGAAAGACGGCTGGGACCACGAGATGACCGATCCGGCCAACTTCGTTACGGACTTCAGCCATGCGCGGCCGCTGACGGAGGAGGACATTGTGGACCCCTTTGCGCCGGGCATCCTATACAACTTCCCAGCTTTCGCCACAACGATGCTCACCGGCGAGTGGAACTCTACGACGATGATGCACAAATGCCAATCGCCAACAACAAAACGGATGGAGCTATATCAAGAACTGATGGGCCACGCGTACGCGATCTGCCAGATCTTCGAAG